GCTTGCTATGACTATCGAGAGAACAGAGAGAGACGACCGGTTATGAGGTTATAATAGCGCTTACCGGTACGTTTTGCTTCAGATCGTCTGGGGATGTGACGGTTGTCACATCGTTAGACGCCGTACACGGCCGATGAGACTAACTCAAAATTTAGTAGGACTTCTCTCAAAATAGTAGAAAGTGAGTAACTTTCCTCAAAAATGTCCTTGAATAAAAGAAAAAAAAAAGTTACGTCTTTTAAGTCGTGCCGGGTGCCGGGCAAAGGTGTTTATCCTAGACAAATGGTAAGTTACAGATTCTCTGTTGTCGTTGTCGTAGGCGCCGTCGTAGTCGCTGTCGTAATCGCCGTCGTAGTCGAAGGGAGTACCGTTGGTATATTTAAAATTAAACATCAACCGCTGAAAATATGAATTATCGCGTATTTCTGTTGTTTCATTTAATATAGTTTCGAAAATTTCATTTTCGTAATTTCATTTGAATAGCTAGTTTAACCAGGTCTTAAACAATCGTCACGTCGGTCATAGCTTGTTATCATTGTCTGAACCATGCGTAAAGAGAAAATCGAAACATTGAACGTCGCGTGAAAGTGGATCTTAATGAAGGCCTAAGTACTCTTTCGTAGCTTTTAGTTTTAGGATTTCAAAGATCGTCGGTTGCAGTGGTTGAGGAGAAAAACGCGGTCCCAGATCCTTTCATATTAAAAATATTAAAATATCGCTTGTTTATCGTGTATTTTGTAAAACTTTTCGTTGTCGTCGGTGCCGGGTTTGAATAGTTATAAAAACTTGAGTAACGCTATAATGTGATATGAGAGGCTCGGTGGCCTTAGAGCAACCGTTTTTGCTTACAGAGCAGAACATCATGAGTCTAATCTCAAGCCCATCCACATTCAAGATTCGTCAATGATAAAAAAGGAGCTCGTCTGCCTAGTGGCAAACGTTTTTGCTTACTGAGCAGAAGACCGTGGGTTCAATCCCAAGCTCCTTCGCGTTATACGATCGTTAGGACATCAATTCAGCTTATCGTTTACCAAAACGAACCCTGCTGCTAACCCAACCCTCTTACCCAACATCCCTGTGATTCCTCGTGGAAGTGCAGAGGACTCCTCGGCTTCCATCAAAGCGAGTGTCACGTCAACACATTCCTACCCAGTCCTTTCTTGACCTGCGTTCAGGCGCGGCTGGCGCTGGTATTGCCTGATTCGAGATCAACAGATTGCTAGTCCCAAGCATCGTCTATTGGTTCTCTGTGTAATTACAGCTGGTCTGGCAATAACAGAATAGCAACCGTGGGCGGTCAATCATGCTCATGCTCATGCTCAACAGTAAAAAAGTTTTTAATTAAATATCCAGCATTTTTGCAGTTTTTTCTTAATATTTGTTTACTTCTAGATAGAGCTGGAATTAGGGCGTAACAGCTTTTGTAAACAATGACTTCTCTCGATGTTTTCTAGGAATTCAAGGCACGTTCACGCACACCAACATAACCATCGGGTAGTGGAAGTCTTCCCCTGCCCGATGGGGATGTTGATTTGCGTAGACGAGCCTTGACTGTCTAGAAATCATCAAGAGAAGTCATTGTTTACATAAGCTGTTACGCCCTAATTCCAGCTCTATCTAGACTTAGTCTTAGTCTTAGTGAATTAGGAAAACATCAAAATATGATTTAGTGATGATTTCCGCATTTTACTAAAATATTTTTTGAATAAAATTGTTTCGCTTGTTATACATTCAACTATTTCAACCACCATCTAAGAGGTCTCACTCTTTTGAATAACTTTGCTCACAACGGGAAGTTTCCTTGTACAATAGTTTTGCTCATTAAAGTGAGTCAATTTTGAACTACTTGTTATCACCGGATCAAAGAACAACTTTACCGAAATCTACAAGATCAGGATTACGATATATTATTTAAAACAGTATATTTCCTTTTAATGGCGCTAGTCACCAAATAGAACAATTCTGTACTAAAAATAATGCTCAACAATAAGTTCTCACTAAACTGAAAAACTTTGGAGTTTTCATCATTTCAATTGCAGGGTCACAAGGATCAGATTTTGCAAAAAATATTAAATGGATCTTTCCTCTACTGATTCACTTGTAGTTATATTAGGAAGCAATATCTTTTAGCATGATGAATAACTACTCTTAACAAGAAACCTTAAACTCGTTAACAGAGATGCCAGATTTGAAGATATATTTTTTCACTACATCTACATCTTGGTGGACTATAGTAAGGTGCAAATCAAAAAAATGTGTAACGAAATAGTGTTAGGTTTTAAACGCTTATAACTTGGCCATTTATTGGTGGATTTAAATTCTTTTCACACCCTTTGTTTCAGAATTGATGTAAGCTTTGTTTGGTATAAAGATTATAGTAATTTATCATTAGTAAACTATTGAAAATTGATCAAATTTTTAGGCCACAATCAACCAATCACGTGCTCGCTTGCTATGACTATCGAGAGAACAGAGAGAGACGACCGGTTATGAGGTTATAAAAGCGCTTACCGGTACGTTTTACTTCAGATCGTCTGGGGATGTGACGGTTATCACATCGTTAGACGCCGTACACGGCCGATGAGACTAATTCAAAATTTAGTAGGACTTCTCTCAAAATAGTAGAAAGTGAGTAACTTTTTTCAAAAATCTCCTTGAAAAAAAAAAGAAAAAAGTTACGTCTTTTAAGTCTATTAGTGCAACAGTTCTCGGTCAATGAGATAAATTAAAAATTGAGTCGAATTTGAATCAAAGTTTGCTAAAAAAGGGGTTACTTAGGAATGAGTAAATTTTTCCGTAGAACCCCATTGAATAGCTAAAATTGCAATGGCACTACGCAATGTAATGCAATTGTGAGTTGAATTCGACTCAGGTATTGAGTTACTTTTATGGGCTGTGTAGACTGAGAAGATTTTTTCTCGATTGTCGTCATATTTGAACAGACTTTTTAGGAAAATTTGACTCACTCAGTGAGTAACCCCCATGAAGGCCGGATAAAGCAGGTGCATAAGAACGCCTATCAATGGTTGTTGGGTTCTGCCCTGACCGGCGATTTGCGACCTCTGTGCACCTGAACTCCGATTCTTACCCCCACACGGTGCCCGGTGGGGTTGCTGGCGGTGATATTTGCCGTCAGTAATGCGAACGGGGGATCATTGTTGTCACTAATGCACTATTGTTCATTAATCGCTAGTGTCGGTGATGACGATGATAGAGCGAATAGGTTATAGCCAACTCTAAGTAGCCCGTGATTATCGCTACCTGGGGATGCTAATCGGCTGGGTGCTGGTTGCGACTTGGCCGTCCTGAATGAACTTTTTCCACCTCTTCAAGCTGGTTCGTTTAAAAGTACGTTAATAAATGGAAGCACAGCCCACTTCCATGATTTTAAGTGAAATGTTCAGTGATATCATGGTGGTGAAAACTGGTGACCCTACAGGGTAAACAGTTATCTTTATTTCCTACAATAGCGCAAAGGGTAATTCTAAATGAGTAACCTTAAGATATTTACCCTGACATCACTGGGTTGCGGAAGCTGAACAGTTGAGTTCAGAATTCATCTTCCAGGTGGCTCTAATAAATTATTTGCTTAACTTGACAGCTTGACTAGATAGAAAGTTTCTGTCTTTAAAACAGTTTTTGGAGTGAAAGAGACTTATTTGATGGTGTCATCACACTAGTATACCTTTTAACTTCTTATTGCTTTAACATGCGAGTTAGACTAGATAGAAGTCTTGGACAAAGTTGTTCTGATGAATAAGACCTATTAAATGATAAACAGCTCAGTTCAGAATTCAATCACCATTTGACGCCATTAAATGTTTGCAAATTTAAATACAACCCTATGCATTGTGTAAACGAAGATAGATGAGTTCAAACTTGAAAAAAAGTTAATATGAAACAATTTAATTGACGTTAAATTTATTGAATTACAGCGTTCGTCATTTGAAAGATTTTTGTTTGAACACAGATAAAGGGCAAATGAGAATCAGCTTATCTGTCATAACTTTGCAACATTTAAATGTAATAATATGGTGTGACGTAATTACATGCATTTTAAATCGGTTTGTTTTATGAAATGCATTATAAATAGTGAATTTTCACTCCGGTTACTGTAAATAACTATTATTCAGTAGGTACCTGAAAATTGGTTGTACATGTTTGGAACCTAATTTGGAATAGGATAGACGTGTTCAGTGGTTTAGTACATCGAGTGTCTACTGAGCGAGCAGATGAGATTGTTGTGCGATGTACATTTAAATTAAGCATAAAACCAACTGCGATTGAGCCGAAGAGATCACTAGGTTAAATAGATCATTACTAAGACAGCAGCATCTGGATCTTGAATTTGGTTCTAAGATCGAAGTCTTCAAAAAGTGTTTATGGAAATTCGCTAAAAACAATACAGGATTTTATTTGATTATTCTCATGTTCTTTTTAGAATTCTTCTAAAATAAATTTGAAATTCTCTCTGGGAGTTCTTTGAATTTTAATGTATAACAGACCAGCCATTCTCTATTAACAATGTTATAATATTATACCGGGAAGCGGGAAAGAGTTATAGCGAGTTTGTTTTTTATCGGTGCGAAACCGAACTTTTGATCAGTGCGAACCTCAACCTGAGCTAGGTTTTAAAAACAAACGAGCAAACTGACGTTCTTCAGAAAATAGGCAGACCCAATCTTGATACCCGATCCAGGTTGGAACTGAATTACAAACGAATTCGCTATTAAAGACATTTGAAGATGATTTTTTAAGGCAACTGAGATTACTGAGATTAGTCATGGGAAAATGTTCTACGATAAAATCTTCCTGGTAGATATATCAGATGAATCTCAATTAAATCATAATTAAAATGCACTGCCAAAAGAATACCATTCACTGTTATACAAAACCCTCTTGCAATCATAAAGTCTACTGTTTCAACAAATTCATCTATCCCACGGCATCATCCACTGTAATGAATATTTCAGTTTTGAAATTGCAAAATTCCCACTCACCTGATGGTGATGATGGTGGTGGTGATGGTGATAACCACCCTGCCGCAACGAACCGTGCATCCCGTGGCCATAGTTTTGCATCGGCTGGCGGGGATGCTGAAAGTGGGACGCAGACGTTTGAATCATCATGTCGCACAGAATATCCTCTAGATCATCGGATGCAGAGGCAGCAGCAGCAGCAGCAGTAGCAGTCGCACTCGCTTCCGGATCGTCCGGCGAGTTGGCACCAGCGGCAACAACGGCAGCGGCTTGGTCTGTTTCTTCCTGGGAGTCACCGCTCAAATCGTTCTCGTCGGCGGCCGGGACACTTGGATTGGCAGAAGTAGAACCACTGGCACTGACACTGGCGGCAGCACCTTGGCACAGTTCATCAGCCGACGATTCGAGCTCCCTCTCGATTCGCTTGACCTCGGACTCCTCTTCCTCCTCTTGTTCTGTGGTCTTCTTTTTTGCTGGCTCTTCGGTTTCCTGCATTAAACAAACATATAATTTATTGTTGTTTTCTCTCGCTCCCTCACACGTGTTGGTTGGTGTGCTGGTTCGGCACAAGGTACCACATAGGAGAACTGTGAGCAGTGCTACCCCCAAGTTCGACCCGTCTGTCCGTCCATCGTCGTCGTCGTCGTCGTCGTCGTCGTCGTCGCACACGTTCGCTTCTATTTGAATCCAAAATTAACAGTGTAATTATGGTCGATAGTCTTGTCAGTGGTCATCGATAATTTGCTTAACCTCACAGCATTAAACATTAACGTCAAAAATGTTCAAACGAATAAAAACGCCAGCAGAAGGGGGAAAAAAGGTTCTATTGACGTTCGCGTCAGCTCGGTGTCCGGTACGTTCTAGGTGATTTAACCTTCCCGTAGGAAGGCTCTGCTATGAGTGTAAGTAATAATTTGGGCAAATTCGCCGACGTGAATATTGAAACAAATTGGGGTTGCGTGCGAAGAAGCTTAATAACTTATTTTAACGGGTAGACCTTGTGGTTTGGGAAGGATTGCGGTTTGGTGAACTTACCTCAGCAGTATCGTTGATCAACTCCGGTAGATTGAGTCCTTCTTCGAGGAATAGATCGGCTAGCGGTGGAGGAAGTGTCGCCTCACTGCCGTCCGTGGCGTTGAGTACATATTCACCTGTGAGGAGGGGGTTAAAGGTAGAACAAATATTGAATCGAGGTTGTTGCAATCCATATTAGAAGCATGTCAAATGACACTCGGGTGAGAGGTTGATTGTTGATATGGAATACGTCAATCAACTGAACCACGGGAGCCGATAGAGATTTGTTTTGATTTCAGAAACGAATGGGAAATTGCTTAGGAAATTTCTGTTCACACTATTAGAAACTTATGCTGCTATGCTACTCTCAGTGTGCCATGAAAAGACAAAAGGCATCTCTTAGCCTGCTGTGATGAATTGAATGATCGACGATGCTTGTAATCGATGTTTTCGTTTGTTTGACGCAGTGTATTGAATTCAAATCAACTGTTTCGTAGCTACTCGTGTTACATTCCAAGTGGGAATGCAGTATCTGTCAATGCAGTTAATTGTTCAAAGATCGATGCATTTTTATCCCGAAAAATTCTCAAATCTCCCTAGAGAATGCGCTACATCACCATGTATACAAACCTACCCTATATACGACTTCAGTCAGCTGGTCCTTTTCATCCATTCAGTCGGTAGCTTTGTGCCACCGATTCCGGTTCCCATCGGGCGTCGATCTTTGCTTTCGAAGAACGACGACGTCTCGAGAGACCTGCCGCCGGTTTCTGTTTCCATTCATTGACTGCTCGTCTCCGAAAAGTCCACACTCATCTTTCGCTCGGATTTCAATCGTCATCATCCCCCTTCTGAGAGGAGAGCGGAACCGGCTACCGGGAGTCATCTCCTAGACGACCTGACCTGATGACTTAGCCGCGTGTGGTTTCAAATTTCAGCAAGTAATACACCTCTAGTAGTAGTAATAATGAAAACGAAACCTTTCCCCCGGGCCCTTCTTGCCATCCACCTCCGGGGGCACTCTCGAAATCGGCATCCAAATCGAGAAATTCGTGTAGTCATGGCGCCATGAATCAACATAAACAACCCATTCAAAACCAACAACAAACAACGATGCGCACTCGCTCTTTCGACAACGGTTGGAGCAGGTATAGGGAAAAAGCATCGCATACTTTGCATAACGACCATCTCATCACCAGCATCGCCGCCGCATTGGCACATGCTGATGATCGATCGCCCAATGTTCCGAAAAATCCGGACGCGCGCTCTCTTGGTTTTCATTGTTGCTCTTTACATACCATCATAGGTGACCATGATCAAGGTTGCGCGAAAATCTCGCTTCCTGTGCCTACTTTTCGGCCGGGAGAATCTGATTCGTATAATTCGAACCACATTTGGTATAGTTCTTAAATGCAGAGTCAGCAACTTTCGTGGAAAGTGGGAGAGCTTCCAGTATCACAACATTTTTTGTACAGTCATCAAAATAGAGTTTTATCATTATCTGACTGTTGTAGACGCAATGGTCGACGGCCTCTCTCACCTCTTGAGGATCTATTCCGAACCAAATTATGCAAAGGCGCCTCATAAGGAGTGGGAGACGCAGCGAAAGATCTTAGCGTAGGTTAGTTTTAATGGAATTAATTTGGAGCTTTGCACGTGGTGTGGCTGCTTTCAATGGCTTTCGTGACTCTTTCATCGAATCGGGTTTTATGGAGATGTTGAAAGGCGCGTCGGAGTTGATCTTGACATTGTCGATGGTTTCTTTTGAATTTGGAGAGCTTGCTTCCTTGTTGGAGTTTCTTCTAGTTCAACGATTTTATTTTATTTTCGCACAGTGGATGATTGACTTTGCGAGTATCGTGGCAAAGTTTAGGAATTCAACACGCCTGCCTCAAAGCGGATCAAAACCTGGCGGAAAGCAAGAAGGGTAACACATCTTCAGACAGACTTCAGAACACAACTTGTCTGCATCTCAAAAGGTGCTTTTTCAACCCCTTCTTCTGCTTCTTTCTCTTCCAAACTTGGTTGGTTGGCTTGGCATGACCGTTTTGTGTAGCTATTTGTACCTCGTCACGATCCTGCTGATATCTGTCTTGAAAGAATCTCCTCTTTCAGCTGCTTCGGGGAGGAAGCATTTATCGGAACCCTCTCATCTGTGGTTCTCTCTTCCCTGTGTGTTGGTGCTGTCCGCGCCACATTCTTTTCTTGGATCGACTGGCGGCGGCGATCGGCATGAGGAAAATAAAGGGAAAAAGGCGGCCTTCCCGGCGCGCCGGACAGAAGAAAGCCAAACGACGACGACCACGACGACAACGGCGTGCCGAAGAAGGCCAGGAATTATGTCGAATACTATTAATTCCTCTTCTCCTTGATTTTGACCACGAGATATCGGGTTCATTATTAGTCAATTTTGTCGGCGGAGAATGTTTCTTAATACATTTGTTGCCATCAGCAGTGCCAGTGCCGTGTCATCCCGGCATCTGGCGTTGCGTATCTCTAGGCATCACCAATCTGGTGAACATCCAACAACTTCCTCTTGATCTCTCGGCGATGGTGATCGTTTGCCCGACGATCCGACTGAGGGCTGAGATCATCCGTCCATCGTCGTCGTGATCATCGCTATCGATCGTGCTAATAGTCGGCATTTTGAGATTCCCTTTGAAGTAATCAACGTCAACCTCGGGAGGCGCAAGTTGGAGAACATGAGGCGTTGGAGTGTGACGTTCCCGGTGGGAATTTGCACTCAAAATATTCGGCTGCGTGTATGGCTTATCAAGTATATTTGTGATACTTTGGGTGATTATCAGGGAAGTAGTGTTTTCGATAATTATAAAATAACTTTTTTTTTTAATAAAAGATTTGAGGAAAACTTCGAAATTATGCTTATCTAAATATACTGATAACATCACCTTTTTTTTTAGAGAAATCATCGTTTGAACAGGAGCTGCATTAATTTGATTTACTTTCGCTTAAAATCTATATTAAAAGACCCAATGAGCACATAGACAAATAGTGTAAAGGACACGTGGCAAGTGTTCATAGTCCATATAAATTTCTAAAAACTTTCCACGTGGTTTGTAGACACCTTCTATCACACCATTATTCAAAACTACTATTTCACAAAAACTAAGGTTCAATACCTATCTGGCATAAATAAAGCATTTCATCATCGTTTTTTTATACCGTAAATGGCGACAAACAATCCAAGTTACGATCCATAATTAAGAAACCAGTACTGACAAGTAGTCACGCTCAATTTCTAAAATACAGATTTGGAGTAAAATTGATTCTCCCCTGAAGTAGCTTACAGATAAACGGAATATAGGGTCACTATTAAAATTTTGATTCGCTGAATCCAGAATTGAGCTGAACATTCATAACGTAAAATGTATCCAAATATTAAACATAACTTCTCCCGAAAGTAGGTAGGATCACCACCCAAAACAAAAAATATTATTGATATGGCTTTTAACCGTACTTTTTAACAAAGAGTAGTTAGAGGCAATACAATGCAAATAAACAATCGATCTTCTCTGATTTGTATGCAACTGTAAGCTAAATGTTTATTGTTGGCAAGGATTCACATTTTTACTACAATTCGGCCATTTTGAATCTTGTAAAATTTTCAAAATGGCATCCTTGATATTTTTCAAAAAATTGTAGCACGGAAACGGCATTTGTGATCGAAATGACGTCTGAGACAAAGCTGTAGAGAAAAAAAAAATTTACTGGGAAAAATAAACAATCTTTCAAGTAAAAATTCAACAAACAAATTTAGAAAGCCAAATACCTCAAATGACCCTGCCAATTTTTGATGAAAAAAGATCAAACAAGGCTTATGAAAAATGCATAGTTTTCGAATATTCAAAACCATGGACACTAACAAACTGAAAAAAAATCGTAGAACAAGAATTTTTGGTAAAATTTTTGAACCTTCTGTTAGTAGGCGTTTTTGTGAATTTTTCATAGACAATGATTTAAAATGTCTTAGCATTGTTTTCAAGTATAAATTACTCAGTAAGGGTATTTTGAGATCTTCAGGTTTTTTTTTTTATTTTTGCTTGAAGTTACTAAAGGGTGTCCACGATGAAATTGCCACACTATGAAATTGCTAACTTTTTAACCGTTGGGTAGAATTTAATGAAAATTTGGGTGGATTTAGTTCATAGTGCATTATTTACATCCTGCAAGTTTTAAAGTCCTGTGATCAAAACTCGCGGAAATGGAGTCGAAAGAACAGCTCGTGCGTGATAAAATCTTGCGCATTCATCACGAGAACAAGGATCTCTCGCATCGTTCCATCGCTAAAACGTTGGGAATCGCGAATTCCACGGTGTCGCGAGTGATTAAGCGGTTCGACGAACGGTTGACCACCGATCGGAAGCCCAGAAGTGAAGGAAAAAGTATTCCGTAGAACACCAAAAATCACAACCGCGTAGTTGGGGCCTTCAACCGAAATCCGAACGTCTCCGTTAGGGATGTGGCTAAGAAGCTGCACCTAAGCCGAAGTTTTGTCCAGAAGGCCAAAACTAAGGCTGGGCTTCGAACGTTCAAGGTACAAAAGGCCCCTAATCGCGACGAGAAGCAGAACAAGTCCGCCAAAACCCGTGCCAGGAAGTTGTACCTCAACATGCTGACGAAAGTTGAATGCTGCATCATGGACGACGAAACATATGTGAAGGCCGACTTCAAACAGATCCCCGGCAACCTGTTTTTCACGGCCAAGGATAAGTTCAGCGTTCCGGAGCATGTCCGCACTCAGAAGATGTCCAAATTTACGAAGAAATTCCTGGTTTGGCAAGCCATCTGCACGTGCGGGAAGCGGAGTGCACCTTTCGTGACCCAGGACACGATGAACGGACAGGTGTACATAAAAGAGTGCCTCCAGAAGCGGCTGCTTCCTCTCCTGAAGGCCCACAACGTCCCAACAATCTTCTGGCCGGATTTGGCCTCATGCCACTACTCCAAGGACGTGCTGAAGTGGTATGCGGACAATAAGGTCAATTTCGTGCCGAAAATGTTCAACCCTCCCAACACTCCGGAGCTCCGCCCCATCGAGAAGTACTAGGCGATTATGAAGCAGCACCTTCTTAAACGACCTAAGGTAGTGAAGACAGTCAAGGAACTGAAGAAAGTA